TGTGGCACGTGTTGGCCTACTTATTACACAAGACGAAATCAGAGCGCTGATTTGTAATATGCAGTGGCAAGAACTCGATGTAAGCGAAGGGAGAAAATCGCATATTAATTGGCATCCAGAATTCCAGTCTGAGTGAGTTCCCTTTATATTATTATGCGTAGTAGGCTACATTGTCATGTACTGCTTTGTGTAAAGAGGATCGGTTACACTGACGGGTCCGTGTGACAGTGTCCTTGTGACGGCTTTCCCAGAGAAAACAAAACTTTAGCATAACATTTAAATAAAATTTCCTTGATTGCCTCATCCTCGAAATTTTTTGTCAAGATAAATCTGGTTTTAGTGAGCAGGCTGTACAGCTTTCGAACAATAATTATGGCGAAAAGATTTAATTTTTAGAAGTATGACTACGGTTCTTTATGTACAATTATATTACTACTCAGTCAAAGTTAGGCAATCGACGTCAATACGAAATCAAATGTGAAGCTTCTCTCTAAAATGTAAAGAACATGCGTTGAACATAACGTTTTCTGACATAGTGTGTTTGTTTTCGGCTTTGGAAATGCCAGTCACTCTTACCTGTCTCGTAATGTGTGTTGAGGTCAAGCAATTCTGTGGTCTTTTTTTAAGGTTGTTTTTTTTTTTTAAATCGGATCCTGTCATACCAGAGAGAAAGGTCTAGATCTAGAGTTCAAGTCCAGTTGAAGCAGTAATCTCGTATTTTGCAATTTGTTTTTCTGTTGACAATTTTTGTGAAGGAGTCTTATGGGAAAGCTAGGACGGTCTGTAAATGGAGAAAGGGGCCCAGTCATGTTACAACCTTCTCAAATAAACCCGCTTGAACGAATGATAGAGAACTTCCACATTCAAATTCAGAGGCTCCTGGAAACATGGATTCGAAAGTAATCACCTGAAGATTATCCCTAAATATGCACTTTCAGTCCTAAAAAATTTGTATTAAAGAAAATGACAGAAAAGAAATAATGAAATAACCCATGGGTGACTCCTCATTTCGTGCACTTCAAATCTGACAGTGAAATTTCTTTAATTAAAGGTGAAATTCTTTTGCATTTACCGTCATATTCCTGAAAGATTTTGCCGCCTTCTGTCTTTTTGGCTGATTGGTGCCATGCTGTAACTTAATATAAGAACAGTACATGAAGAACTGG